ATAGAATTATAGCAGTTTATATTCGGTTTTACTATAACTGCTGCTGTTTAGGTGTTTCTAGAGTACTTATTCGCAAAGTATTCCTATTCTCTATATAATAGGCACGCGCTGTTATATTTTCTTTCTTACCTTTTTTTATTAGTAATTAGTTTACCCTTCTAGTTATTACATTATTTTATAATATTAATCTCTATATAATCTCTATAGTCGCGGTTGGTTACTCTTAGCTTTGGTCTAGCTAGTTAGGCGTAAGAATAAAGTCCTCTTTTATTTGCCTGTTTTAGTTGTTGCTTATACTATTAACTATTAATTTATATTGCTATTTCCTTAAGTTTATAGAGTATTAAAGGCCTTTTACTTTATACGATTTTGTTTTTAATATTTTCTTTAAGACCTCTGTAGTATTATGCTTATAGAGCCTTATCTCCCTATAATAGCTTAGACGCGATTTATATAAATTCTAAAGTATAGCGGCTGGTTAAGCTCTTCTGCTTTAGAACTGCTATTTTCTGTTCCGCTGTCCGTTTTTTATTAGTGTTTCCGAAGGTTATCTAAAGTACTAACTCGAAGTATCTGTAGTTGCTAAATATAACGTTTGTTTCTAGTTTCTAATTATCTGCGTCGGTGTTGCTAAGCCAGTCTATAAGCATTAGGTTAAACTAGTTAAACGCTTTTTTCTTTAAGAAGGTGGCTGCTATATAGACCTTATCTAATTTAAATTTAAGGTTGCTTTAGTTTATGCGCAGGTATAGTCTTATCTGCGTTATAAACGCTTGTAAAGCTCCTTTTTCCCTAGTAAACTCTTTAGGCTTATTTATTTTATAGCCTTTATAGCTAACTATTTTAGTAGTAGTAAGCTTTCCTTAAACGGTCTAGAGATTTCCCTATAGGGCTATAATCTTTTTATTCTTAGTATTACTAGCTTCTTCTAGTGTTTATATTTATATAAGCAACGCCTATATATATATTACTACCTTAGTTATAGTTAGGGTTAGTCTAGTAGTTATGCTACCTAAAGGGGTTAGTAGGGCTATTTTAATTAATCGTCTGTATACGACTCTTTTAATATAGCGGTGTTTAAAGTATAACAGGTTGTCTTTTCTATACCTTCTAAGTGTCTTATACTATAGCAGGGTATAGGCAAGTTATTATTAGGGTGCAATAGTCTTTAAAAAGTAAGGTAATAATTAATTAAGGTCTAAAACAGGGTTATTACTTCTAATAGGTAGTATTAAAGTTTTAAGTTAAATATAAGGTTTCTATTTATATAAAGGAGCGTCCCTATATATAAAAGCTCCGTTCTAAGAGATTTACGGATTACTCTAATCCGTCCCTAGATCGCTCCGATCTATAAACTATCCTTAGATTACGCTAATCTATAAACCGTTCTTAGATTACGCCGATTCTTAGTCTTTTTCTTCTAATCTATTATATAACCCTTTTATCTCGTAATTCCTATTTTTAGATTATTCCTATCTACTAGCAGTTCGTAGGGGAATCTAGGATCCCTACGCGTCCTATATATAACCCTTTTAGTCCCGTAACCTAGTTCTCTATAATTAGTCTTATCTGCTTACTTATCTCCGCAAGTGCCTCTGCGCTCGGGTGGTTCGTGTTACGGGTTGTAACACCTAGATAGCCGCCTTTTAATTGCTAATTAAAAGGAATACTATATATACTATTATACTAAGGTCTTATACCTAAAAATTCTTCTTTACTATAAATAGCCTTTTCCTTAAAAGTATATAGAGGGCTATTTTTAAGCGCTATTTAACTATTAGAAACTAAAGAAATAAAGCCCTAGGCCGCTGTTAGGGTGCCTACTTATTTAGTAGAAAGGTTTAGTACTATATTTATAAACTATATAGGATTATTAAATACTATAATAGTTCTTTTAACCGCCGGCGTGTTTATAGAAATACCTGCTATAGTAATTTAGCTAGCTGGTATTGCAATCTATATTAATTATATTAGTTCCTGTCTACTTATAATACTCTACTTTTATTATATATAAGCAGTAGTTTTATAAGTTCGCCGGAGATATAATATTCCTCCACGTGATCCTAGTTCTCTACCACGCTGTTATACTTACTATACTACGCTTACTAGATCTTATTAAGTATTAATTTCGAATTAAAATTAATTATATTAAGTTAAGTTAATAGATATAAATACACGGCTATAGCTATAGCTACAGCTACTGCTACTGCTACTGCTACTGCTATAGCTACTGCTATAGCTATAGCCTGCTATTATTTAATAAGGTGCAGTAGAGCCTGTTAGCCGGCCTTTATAACGCTGTATAATTACTAGAGCCTTAATAAAAAGAAAAGGATTTATAGAAAGGTCCACCTTATTTAGAATAGGATAATTAAACTACTAGTATTAATAAATATCCTCTAGTATAACTTTATACTTAGCTATTAATATAGTATATAGTTTTCTATATATTTCGTAATAGTATAGTATACTGTACGTCCCTCTAAATATTCTGTTATATATTAGGTTAAAATTATTATTCTTAGCCTTCTTAATCTGCTTAGCAATTAATTAAAGGCCCTACTTAGTAACTTTTCTAATAACCTTACTAAATTTAGGCAGCTTTACCTTATGCTAAGGAGCTCTATATTATCGGCTAAGCTAGTTCTTTAGTTCTATACTTTAGCGGTAAATATATTAAAATAGTAGTATAACTATATTATATAAGTTACCTATTAAAATCTAAAGATATAATTTAATACTGCTATTTAAACCTTTAAGCTGTAAGGTTATAGTATTGCTAAAGTACGGCAGAAGGCTAGTATAATATATAGTAATCTCCTTTTTATATAGCTACTACTCTTTAGTAAGGTAATTAATTAGAAGTTGTTTATACGTATAATTTAATTTTATTTTATTCTAAGCAGCTATAAACTTATCCTCTATAGGTTTTGCTAGGCAGAAGTTAAGCTTATTAATAAATTTCTTTTAATCTTTCTATATAACCTTAATTTTAGCTATTATTAGATTTTAAAAGGTATATACTGCATTCTATAGATCTATAGTATTAGTTACTGCTTGCTTATTATTTTTCTAGATAGCTATAGCCTTGCTGGCGATGTTTTTCTACACGTGCTATTTGCACAGGAGTTAAAGAATAGTAGGAAAGAACTTAGCCAGCGTATTTTTAAGTGCTAGCTCTTTATTTATAATAAAAACGCCTGGCGAAACTCCTAGGTACTAGTATATAAAATAAAGCTTATATACTGCAAAAATATAGTCCCCCTCTTCTTCTTCTAGAAGAAAATAATAGCCTAGCTTATAGTTCCTGCCCTAGTTAGTAATACTATTAATATAGAAAAGTAGTATTTTAAACTTATTTATTTTATAGGTGCAGTTAAGAAGAATAATATTAGGATTCCTCTAGAATATCTAAACACTCTTAGGATATATAAAGTATAGATACTTAATATAGTTTACTTTATCTAGCTTATATTTATAGTAGTAATAAGCGTCCGGGTTATTGCTGCTGTGTTCCTTAAGCACCTTAAGTATAGCCTAAGTTAGAGTAAGCCTCTAAAGCTTTATTTTCTTCTACTCCTATCTCTTATTATATAGGTCCTGTATTATTACATCCTTACCTTTAGTAAGTAGGTTGTTGAAGATAGCACTAACAGGCGTGCCTCTATTAAGCTAATTGTATATAGTTTGAATTGTATCCTTATCTAGATCTCGGTGTACGGCTGGAGTCCCCTTATTAGCATTAAACGGCTCGTGATTGTGAACAGAAACCTCAACTTCAAAGAACTAATTACCTAGCTGTAGATCTCTCGTGAAAGCTCTTTTTATAAGGCAATTGGACTTCTTTGTACGGGTGTTCTTCTTCCTGTTGGCCGGCTTGTATATACCCGCACAATTGCAATGAACAAGCACCTTCCGCACCTGAGGTGGAGTGCGCTTGTCCATTTTATTGTTGTATTTGACGATCGCGTATCCTTCCTTCTTTGCCCAATTATTAACGGACTTCATGCCCTCATCTACGGATGCATGGCGGCCCCAGGGGGGCGGCCGGAGCGGCATAGCGGTGAGGGTGGTGATGTAGAGGACGTGGTGTTGATGCATTACGAGTGCGCAGTTGATGTAAATTCCTTATTGAGCACAAATAGTGAGTGAATATGATTGGTGGAACAATATTAATACGGGCCGGCGCTAGGCTAGATGTAGGGGGGGTGGCAGGAAGAGAAAAGGGGGGTGATGCGGAGAGAATAGGGGGGTGGTAATTAAGCTCGTCCTAGTTTAGCTAGGCCTAGCTAACTAAGCTAGCCCTGGCTAAACGGCCTATATCGATGCCGCACGCCAAGTCGGGCCAAGACCGTGGTGAATAGGTACACAACAGCAGTGCGGACACCGGTTGTCGGTCCAGCGGGCAGCGACGTCGCCGCTGCCAAGGGAACGTAGTAGAACAAGGCGCTGCAGTGGTGTATAAATCCCGAGATGGACCGGAGTAGTGACCCCAGTGGCCGTTACGTCAGTATCGCAAGCGTGTGCAGCAGACTGTCAAGTTTCGGGTGAGAGTGCAGGTTCCGGTCCAACACTGTGCGATGAGTGGATGTTGACGGTTGCTAAGAGTGGCTTGTGGATGGTGAAGGAGAAAGAAATGTTTTAATGTTGATGCGAGGGTTGGACATGAGACGAGCTACTATACATAATTTAGTGTACGAAGGTCACTCACGCACCTGCAATAGCACACCGATAATCATCAACACTTCCTCCATTCTAAAACACTCGCAAAAATCGCCGCCGTAGCTCACGATCTACATACACAAACAAAAAAACAAGGTTCGGGGGGAAAGGATCGATCAAAAGGAAAATGTATTAATGGAGCTTGCAAACTAGCAGCGGTGGGGGGTGAGGAACGTTGGAAAACCGGCTCAAGCTTTTTCTCTATAAATCGGGAGTCGATATATTCGAAAAAAAGAATTACACCTCATCCAGAATTGAGAAGGGTTCCTATGAGCCGGCCCAACTATTACCAGTTGTGGTTTTGCAGGCTTTGTAGTGTGTTGGGTTTTTTTTGGGGGGTGTATAATATCGACAACTCCTTTGATCTTCCCTTTCCTCGCAACCTCCCGTCACTCAGACCTTGGTATTAGAAAAAACATGCAAATCATCAAACAGGACGATTCTACTCGCCCTTCTCGTGCTTTGTCGAGACGCGTTGTAACGAGACAACTGTTAAGAATATTAGAATGTTATACTGGTGGAATAATGAACGGATTATAATCTTTTGACTTACCGAAATCTTCTAGTGACCGCTGCTTTTGGTCCTTCTTTGGCGACTTGCCGTGCATGAGGTTGTCGAATCCGGCGCTGTCCTGGAGGAGGTAATACACACCACCCAGGACGCAGAAGACACCGAAGGAGAAGATCCAAATACGGACGACAGCAACAATGGAGGTCTGGCCACCAATGAACCAACCAAAGAGACAGAAGAAGGTGGCGATCAAGTCCACAGACAGGATAGCACCGGCAAGTTGCCACGAGGGGATAGACGACCAGAAAGGACCGTTGGCACGAGTGATGAAGATCAGCCAGTTCTCAGAGAGAGAGATCTGGAGGAAGAGAACTTCGTCACGAACACCAAAGTTCTGAACAATACCACCGCTAATACCCTGGTGGGCTGCGTTGGGCAGATCCTGGTAGGGGAACATGGTGGTAAGAGTGATCCAGGTACCGACGGCGAGGACAACACCGAGAAGGACGGACAAGCCCCAAAGCTTGGGCAGGTTCCACTTGACTGGGGTCTTGGAGAAGGGGGCGTTGTCGTAGGCGATGGCAAGAGTGGCGATATCAGCGAAAATAGCGATGAAGACAACGAGTTCCAGATTGAGTGAGGTGTTGAGGATGGCAATCCAGAGACCGAGGAAGAATTCCAGATGCAGCGAGAGCGCAATACGATAGACAACGTAGGCGTACATACGATGGAAAATTTGGCGAGAGGTCTTGAGAGCATCAATGATGGCGGAGAGACCGGGGGCAAGGAAAACAATGTCGGCGGCGGAACGGGCAGCATCGGAAGCACCCTCGACGGCGATACCGGTATCGGCCTTCTTGAGAGACGGGGCATCGTTGACACCGTCACCAGTCATGGCAACGAGGTAGCCACGCTGTTGCAGAATTTCGACGACGTTGTACTTGTGCTGGGGGAAAACCTCGGCAAAACCATCAGCGGCCTCGACGAAATCATAGACCTCGGAACCGGGCATCTCTCCTCCTCCACCGAGACCAAGACGTTCAGCGTTGTAGACGTTAGTGCCGAGACCGAGTTGCCGGGAAGTTTCACGGGCGATACCGACGGCATCACCAGTCAACATTTTGATGGACAGACCGAGAGTCTTGGCTTCGTTGATAGTGCGGGCAGTATCGTGACGAGGAGGGTCGGAACAAGGCATTATACCAAGGATCTCCCAGCTGGCATCACCACGCTTGCGTGCAACACCGAGGGAACGGAAACCACGAGTAGCGAATTCGGCAACCTTGTTCTTGTAGGCTTCATCAACAGCTTCGGGAATGGGGTGGTCCTCCTCGACGGTCTTCAAGACGAAAAGAGGAGCGCCCTTGACACAGATGATGCGCTCGCCCTGGGGAGACTCGACAACGGCCTGAACCTTCTTGGAGACGGGGTCGAATGGGTGGAAGTCGATGACCTTGTACTTGGAGAGGACGCCCTTGGCACGCGGGTAGAACTTGAGGGCCTTGAGGAAAGCCTTGTCAATGGCATCAATACCCTTCTTCTTGCGGGAGGCGGCCAAGCAAGCAGTCAACATGAGGTCTTCGGGCTCAACACCCTCGACAGTGTAGGGTTCGGCGAGAGAGAGCTTGTTCTTGGTCAACGTGCCAGTCTTGTCAGAGCAGAGAATCTCGACACCGGCCAAAGACTCAATAGCGGAGAGCTTCTGGACGATAGCCTGCTTCCTGGCAAGGTAGGCGGCACCGACAGCCATGGTGGTGGTGACGACGGCGGGGAGACCGACGGGCACACCGATGATAGTGATGGCGAGGGTGAACTCGAGGATGGTGACCAGAGAATTGGATCGGTAGAAAGACGACACCCAGACGACGAGCAGTGTGATGATGACGAGAATAAGAAGAACCGTGCCAATGCCGTTGAGCACCTCAGTGAAATGACCAGTACCACCGGAGGCAGAGGCTACGAGAGAGGCGGCGCGACCAACGAAGGTGCTGTCACCCGTGGCAGTGATAACCATGAAAGCTTCCCCACGCTTGACGGCGGACGAGGCATAGCAAGTGTCGCCCTTGTGCTTGTCCACGGCGAGAGACTCTCCGGTGATGGCGGACTGATCGACCTGGAGGAACGCGTCCTCGGTGACAATGCGGCCGTCGGCGGGGATGATTGTACCTTCTTCGATCTGGAGGATGTCACCGGGGACGACTTCAGGTGCCTCGACATCGGCGAGAGCACCATCACGGAGAACAGTGGCCTTGAGCGCGAGAGTCTTTTTCAACTCCTCGACGATGGAACCAGCCTGGAATTCCTGGATGAAACCGACAGAGGCGTTAAGCATGAGCAAGGCGCAAATGACACCGAAATCAACCCAATCCTGGAGACCGGCAGCGAGAACGGCGGCAGCCTCCATGACGAACTGGATAGGGCCAATGAAGTAACCCAAGAATTTGAGAATCAGATTCTCCTTCTCCTCTGCGCGCTGTTAGCGGTGCCAAGGCACAGAAATTCCAGACGCGACGTACCCTTCATCTGATTCAGGCCGAACTTCTTTCGGCGGATGAGGACCTCGGCGGAGGTCAGACCGGTGCGGGTATCGGTCTGGAGCAGGTCCTCGGCGACGGGCCTCGCACCACCAGGCTGTGTGACCTCCTCTTCCTCGGCGTCGATGCCGGCGTCCATGGACTCGAGCTCCTCGATCAGGGCGTCAATGTCCTCGTCCTCGTCCTCGTCTTGCTCGAGCTTCTTGGGCGGTACATCGTTGCCAGCTTCGGGGTGTTCGGTAGGATACTCCTTCTTCTCGTCCTGGGCCGGGCACGTTAGAAGCGGTACAAAGAGCGCGTCGCACCAAGTCGAGCTGCATCGCGCGCAGGCAGTTCCATAGCGCGATGGACGAGCAGGCGCGAGGGGAGTCACTCACCAGGCCGCCGGTAGGAATGTCGCTCCCGAGGTGGTTTGGAGGCGTCTCCGTGTGTTCAGAGACACCGGTATGTGTCTGCATGCGGTCAGCGAGGAGCGAGAGTGTGAATAGGCAAAGAGCGAGCGTACGTCGGCCATGGTGCTGCGACGGCGAGCAGTGAGCTAGCGATAAACGACTGCTGGAGGATGTATTGGCGTGTCGCGAGCGGATGTGGTGTTGAGAATGCAGACTGGACGAGGGTTAGCTTTTTGTTGTTGCCGCAATCTCTTGCGAGGGTCTGTGCGGCAGCTGTCCCGTGGGAGCTCGCCTTGGAGCTTCCCGGTCGCAGCAGCGTACACGACAAGGCGGGCAAAACGCACCTCGGCAGACCAATTAGCAGAGAGGCAGCCCAGCTACGCTCACAGAAGACGCAATGGGAGGCTCGCCGTCGAGGAGAGGTGATGCGGAGGGAGTGGAGAGGGGTGGTGAGCTGGAGGATGAGCACGCCGGGCTAGGTGGCGGGCGGGACGGCGGCTTTATTCATCGAATGCGCCACGGACCACTCCTCTCGCGCTAGCCAATATGCCTCTGCGAGATAGGCCAAGACGAAGCCCACGCGCCCAGAGCAGCCTGCACCTCAGTGGCCCGGCCGAGAGCAGATGCCAGAACTGCCAACCGGCGATCCCTCCACGCCGTGCTTCGAGGCCGCGAAAGCATCCTCTTCTGATGCGCCGAAGCCCATTGCAGCTCCATCTCAACCACAGCGCGACGTCTTGGGCGCCTCTTGGCGGGCCGAACCACGGCACAGCGCCGGACTGGGCCCCGTCGTGACAGGCCCGTCGCTGTTTGGGGCCGTGGACGTAGACAATGGAGCTATGACAGTCGCCATTATGCCCCAGCACCAGGGTTCCACGGCAACCTCGCCAGCCTGAAACATGCACCGGTGTTGCTCAGGCGCGGCATTGTCCGCTGGCCGGGCTCAGTAAACTGCTTCCAAGATGCAGCGAGACCACGCAGTTCAATAACATCCAATCTCCCGCCATTAAAATCGCTGGCGCCAGATGGGCGAGGCCGAAAATCGCGCTTCGCTGTGGCTTCTACAACATTCTCCGGCGCCGTATCGAATGCCATGCGTTTAGCCCGATCTGTGACATGGATACGGGCACGTAAACAAGTTTTGCTTCGAAACACTGCGGCTCAGGTCCACGAGAAGTGGACATTTAAGGTTGCAGCCCTCAAACACACAAAGAACCATCTCCCCAGCCTCAGTTGACGTCCCGCGACGCATTTCCTGACTCCAGCCTCGGCAGGGCTCTTATCTGCCTCGAGGACGCCGGCCGACCGCTGGCATCGACGCCAGGCGCTTCTGTGACCACGCCCAGCTTCTGGTGTCGCCTTGAACCGGTCGCCAAGACGGCGCTGCTACGAACCCCAAGTCGAATGGCGAGTCTTGCATGCATCATTGAGGCTGTCACCACGATGCCCGGTCCGGCAAATTCAAGCTTCACATCTCAGCGCCATCCGCCTCTCTCTCCGCACTCTCTGTTCTGTCCCACACATGTCGTCTCTCCCCAGCTTCCCCGCCAGCGCTCGATTCCCCACTTGCTTTTGACGGCGCCCGCAGGCCCACATTGCCCGTAGCGCGCTCCTTTAGCGAGGCGTGGTGCAAACTTTTCCGCAGAAAGGCTCAGGTTGCTATGTCGAGCGCTCCCGGCGCAGGCCTGTCGCTGCAGGATCTCTCCCTGCCCTTGTCCAAAGCCGTTGGCTGATGCGCTCCTGGGCGCCCAATCACCGTGACGGGTTTCACCCACCTCTGCGAATGACGGCAAGGCTTGCGGGACTTATGCAGCCTGCTGGCCCTCTCAACGTCGGTCAGCAGTATTCATCAGCCAAGAGCCCAACACAGCGTGTGGTGATGCTTCCCGTCGCCGGTGCATCCGCTGCTCAACGTCGACGGTGCATCCGCTGCTCAACGTCGACGCAGCTCTCCCCTCTCGAGACTTCAGTACTCGGTTTCCGAGGCGTTCTGCGGCCGCTGATTAAGAGTGGTTCACTGCATCTTACAGGCCCCCCCAGCCTATCACGCTCGCGTCGAGCGACCGCGGAACGGCCTGCGGCGGGCGTTGCTGCATCGAATCGGCAGGACTCTCGCTTGCCAAGCTCGGAGCTCTTCGTGAGAGTTGCGACAACGGGTATGCCGGGCTACATGGATACCCCTACGACGCTTACTGCAAACAGAGCAAGCTTGAGCGGCCTTTGCTTCTTCGCTGCCCCAGGCCTGCATGCACCAGATCACGGCAACACCTCCCCAGTTAGATAAGCGACTTGATGGCACCCCGTGAAGACTCGCTATCGTTTTAGCTTCATCAAGAGTCCATCTGTCGGCTTTTTGCTTCGACTTTCTGCTCCAGATGCTGTCCTTGCTGTCCCTGCTGTCAGCCCGTGCTGTCAATGATGTTGCGGGCTCCCTTCCTATTTGCGGGCCAGCCCGAGCGCCGAGATGAGTCTCCTTTCCGTCTAGCGAAATCAACATCTGCAAGTTGGCCTGTCTATCCGGCCAAATCCTCTATTGAGCCAAGCCTCAAGGTCGCCTTGCCAAGCTTCTTCTCCTTTCTTCTACAACTAAACATCTCGAGCGTCTCGAGGGCGGTGCGCTGTGCTTTGTGGTCCATGTTCAAGAAGCGCACGCGTTCGTAGCACGATTGTCGCACATGCAACGATCTTTTCTTGGCACCTCCCAATCCGCTCCCCAACTGCCCTAATCAGGCCTTCTGTGTCCTTTCCAAGAACCTTCCAAGACTTCCGCGCTCTACACTCCGGACTTCCGCTGTGAGACAAAGCTGTTCGTACGCAATTGCTGTCGCGGCTCCGACCTGCTCTGCCGACGTCCAGAATATGAAGTCGCTGGTTGTAACTATAGGTAGGAATAGATAGGTTGCGCTTGGCACTCCATATGCCGAATTGTGATGTAACGCGACTCTCCACAGGTCTGTTTAGCGCTGGCTATAACATCCACTTTTATAGGACAGGAGGCTCCTGACTCCGTGGTTGCTTGGCGATGAGGATGCGCTGCTCGAGCCTTGTGCAAGACTGGGCGATCCATTGTTGATGCTGTGCCGTACACCGCCCGCTGTATCTGCGGCCAAGGTAGATCACACGTACGTAAACGAGTTACTATTCTTCGTTCGTTTCAGACACGTGCTGCTGAAATCGATCGACGTCTGGGCGTGGGGTGGCGTCGAGGATAGGTACGTATTTCGCACTGCAGACTCCGAGCTTGGCGCTTCGAGAACGGCATGTCACGAGTAATGAGGAGGCTCGTACGAAGAGCGATATTATGGATACGTCGATCTTGAGTACTTATTTATTTTGATGAGCTTGACGTCTCGCCAATCCAAACGCTCTAGGTTGCCAAATGCGTTCACGAAAATGTATCCTGAGGTAAACCACAAAAGAAACCTCTACAGCGTCAATGCTAGATCAGGCCACATGCACCCAAAGACAAAAGAAAGAATTAGGTCTCTCCGGCGCCAAGATTCGAATTTGGACTCTGCATAGTACGCGTGCAAAGTACCTGCCAGAATTGTTCATGCATCGCCTTTCCTACACATGTTCTGGCCGACCATACTACGCTGGATTACTGCTAAGGCAATATATTTAGCTCTTATAGTGCTAGATGTCTAAAAGTTGAGTATAGCCTCTTTTTCTTACTCGAGTTCCACTTCTTTGGTTCCCTCCTACGCTAGTCCAATTCTTTTAAGCTACATTCTCCAAGACGTTTACTCAATCATCAGCACTTTCTGCAATATAGCCAAATTAAAACATCGGGATTGACCCACTCAAACAGCACCATCGAGCATCATGCCAAACCCTCACTCAAGACATTATCTCCTGACCAGCCTCAATGCTCCTTCGTAGACCTCCTTGGCAACTACCTCGCTTCCATGACCACAAAGCCTAGAAGCACATATTACAACTCATCCACGTTCCACGCTGGGTTGATGACCACGAGCTCCTCGGCGAGCTTCTTGGCAACATCTGCCGTCTGAGCAGCCGAAGTCAGAACCACGGATGAGCGCGAAGGTCTCAACCTTGGATTCATGTAACTATTATCGGAACGCCGATATGCCGACGGCTTCACGTGGAATGATATTTGGATACGCGATTACGACTACCTTGGCTTACCGTCTTGGTTTTCCTTAGGCACTACGTGTCGTGGGAACTTGGTTGATATCCTTTTTCTCGAAAAATGTGTTCCGGGATCTTGTGGGAAGGCAGTCTAGGAACATGGTTAAGATGGTAGGTCGAACACGGTACTGACGCACACAAAAACTCTCACAGATTTAAATATCACATTCTTCTCGAAGTTCTTCCAGCACATCACTCCACGAACAACCATCTTAACCACAATCACACCGACCCAATAATACGTACCTTCCACAACAACCAAGAAATGGCCGCATTCTTCGTCCTCCAACAACTACAACTACAACAGCAACTCGCCTCAACCTCGACCGGCTACCGGTTGTCCGTCTCGAGTACTACTCTCCAACCACCCACCACCACCACCAACATGGACCTCGAAGCCCAACGCCCCCGCCCTCTCTCCTTCGTCACCTCCACATTCGCGCCCGCCATCCTCCCCCTCACCATCTTCGTCGTCCTAACTTCCTCCACCGCCGCCCTCCTCGCCGCCGCCTACTTCGCTCTCTCCTTCCTCGTCCACAAAGTCGCCAGCCCCGCCGCCGTCGAGCACGCCATAATCGTCGTCATGATCCTCACCGGCACCTTCCTTCTACCCGCGCATATCGTCGTCACGATGGAGTATGCGCAGAAGCGCGCGAACGGTAGTGCCGGGGGCTCGTTGAGGCAGAGATTGGGGGTGGCGGCGGTGCAGAGTTTGGTGGTGCTCAGGGGGGTTGTGTTTGGCGGGTTGTATGCCGGGGCTTGGGGGATTTTGGGGATCTTGATCGCGGCGGGCGTGGTGCATCTACACTGAGGGAGGGGTCTGTGGGGGAAAGAGGGGGGAGGGGGGAGGGAATGTGAGCGAGGCTTTTCGGACGGCGCGGCGCGGCGCGGCGAGGAGGTTAGGTGTGTGGCCCTGCTATGTTGAGATTGGATCAATGCGATTGGGAGACCGTGAGCTTGGGTATCGACATGTGATTTGTAAGTGCAGGTGCAGGAGAAGAGATATTAGGTTGGGTGAAGCCGCTGCCGATGTCAGGTTCGTCCGATTCCCAATTAGGGGTTCCGTGGTTGCAGAGATGGTGAGCCATGGGCGTATGAGATGGGCCACACAGCAAAATATTCCACCATATACCCTCCAAGCAATATAAACTGATATCATCCTCCCCACTCCTCTACCAGCACACCCGCTACACTCCCTCACGTACTAGCAATATTAATAAGCGCACCACGCTCTCCAGCATAATTCTCACGCAAAATAGCCCTCTCCATTATCCTAGCCGTTACATTCCTCGCCCTCGCCTCACTCCTCCCAGATCGGTCCAAACGCCCACAACGAACCCACGCTCCAAATCGCCGCTGCCGGTGTTCTTGACCGGCCTAACCTGTGGGGATTTTGAACCAACTCGCACCACCCCCTCTGCGAACCTATTCAACATCCCACCGGCCGCTTTGGAGGGGACGACGAAACCAGCCTCTGAACCTCCTCATAGTGTCATCTAGAAATCTCCATCCTGTAAAACCAACGCAGAGACATAGTCTTCCTCCCCCTCAAGCCCAAGGACAGTGCTCCGCGCCACGCACTTACCATACGCCAATCGAGCGTATCCATACACCAACGCCTCAACACAACATAAGCCCGTGCACACGAATGTACCACTGTTTGGGGTACCCCCATGGAATATCAAACCCCTGGGCACGATGTCAAGTTTCAAGCAGTGCAAATCAGACTGCCTCTTGACTACCTGGCTACTTACCAGCTAGGCCGTTGCTCACGGCGGTGTCGCGTGAGCGAGATTGGAGCCAAGCAGTGATGAAATCCGCGCGCCCGGGCGTATGGCCTAGTACTGTGAGAGAGAGCGTTGTCCCGTTTTGCTGGCTCCCATCTCTGACCAATCCCAAGTTCGAGGTCATGCTCTCTTCCCTCCTTTCTCAAAGCGCAGTCTTGAAACCTTGGAAGTTGAGGGACTTGTTTGAGAAGTCTTTCCCCCCCCCCAATAACGCTGCCGAGTACGGCGAAGTCGTGCTCGAGTTTGCTTATCACAGGCCATGATGTCGCTAGGAGCGTGTTCAGTTTCGTCTAAGTTGTTGATCTGATGGCTTTGGTTGTATTGCTACTCGTACGCCGCGCATCCGTAGTAGCCTCCGCACTCATTGTCGCGTTCGGATTCAATCTTGCGAATTTAGGCCAATATACGTAGGGATAGTTGAGGAATCTTCGGATGCTAGCAGACCTGTGACTCGAATATATCGTCTCAATACTCATCTCACAGAAATCCCGGAGAGAACAGCACGTGCGGAACCAAGCAAGCTCTCAGATTGCTACCTACCCGCAAACAAGCCTCCTCGCAATCCGTGACCGACTCACATGCCGCTACCCCGTGCTCCCCATTTGCGCTTTTGGGGGAATCGGCAAACCTTTCCCTCCTTCCCCCCCCCCCCCCCCAAAAAAAAAAAAAAAAAATTCGTAGAGTTCGCCGAGTATAAATCCCACCATCTCCTTCATTATCCGCGCTCCTCACTCACAGTCTGCATCCGCTTCCATCCCCTAACCAAGAGCGACTCATCTCCCACAACCACAACCACACCAGCTCAAACCCACCCACCAGACATCCAAGCACTCGAGAGATGTCTCCACTAGGCAATGACGGGAAAGGGAATGCCGGCGGGGGCGAGAAGACCGCTATGACTAAAGGTGATTCGGCGCGCATCCAATCCGCTCAGGTGAGTCTTCTTGGACACTGTGCGCTAGATGCGCTCCTTCAGAGATCCGGTAGATAGCTTGCAAGGCTAATGAGAATAGGCTAAGAGCGGCAACGATCTGGGATTCGCGCGGCGCGCGCAGTCTGCGGCGGACAAGAGTGCGAACCAGGCCGCTGGCCAGGGAACGAAGAAGTAGTGGGGATAGGGCGACTATGAGGGAGAGGGGTATGGTTTGACGTAGATGGAGTGCGTTGGGATGAAGGCCTGAGGGGGGAGGGATTTAGATTTCTTTTGTTCTGGTAGGCCGAGGGGACGCGATTAGGGGGTGCTTGTTCAACACAAAAGAGGTTTTGACATTCGGGAATTCCAGTCTTCTTACCCATGTACACTCCTTCAAATCGAGCTTCTGCAGAACTCATCTCATGTTTTTTGCTCGTAGATTTGTCGTGGTGCTAAGAGCGAGATAAGAGCGTGCTTTGGGGTGAATAAGGTATTCAATGGGCGTCATGAATAGAGCCTCCTATAACCGCGACTACGCCGACGCGCCTCCGCAACACTTGACGAACCTCCTCAAGTCCGCCTCGGCCTCCTGCCACCTAGCACATCAGCCAACCTACTAGATCTCGCATTCGCTATCATATATGTTCACAGCCTAGGACAAACGGCTCCACATCGGCCACGCCATTGCCAACGACATGGCCGACAATCCCCGTAGCAAGAGGAAGGCAACCTCCCCAATGCCCGATACTGGATCCAAGAAGCAGCGAACCCAATCGGAGGCGGTTTTAGGACAAGTCCAGCCGACAACACCCCCTTCAACCAAGCCCTCGTCGCGCACCGAGCAGCTCCCAGCAGCTCCCCCTCCTCCTCTTGCGGCGAAAGAAGCCCAGCGCGAACCCGATGCAGCCCCTGACGGCATGGAAGGAAAGCAGCCCGACAGCGCGCCCGCGCTTCCCGCATACCTAAGCACCAAGGATTCAAAGGTCTCATTCCTAAAGTCACTGGCAGGCAAGTCCTGGACGCCCGGCGGCACGGCCAAAGAACCGCCAAAGCCGCAGCGCGGGCGCCGGGCTTTCTTGGAGAAGCCGAAGTCGGAGGCGAACGCGGCGCCCAAGCAGGCAGCGAAGCCGGGGAAGAAAGCAGTCACCGCGGGCAAGGCCAACGACGACGACCAGGCCACGCTGCCAGGTGGCGAGCAGACGGTACAGCCGCCGCGAGCTTCCTTTGATGATTACCTAGCGTATTGACATAGCGAAGACAGGGAAAGCCGCGAGGACTGCCGGATTGGCTCTCGAGCGCAAGGGCGATGACCAGTCTGCGAAACCGACTGCACTACAGGCGACACGGCGGGCAGAGAGAGTCTCTGATCGGACCGCAGTGTCTAGATCAGATGAGATTTCCGCGGCCACTCCATCTTCCAAGAAGACATCTAAGAAGCCAGCGAAAGTGCGCATCGAGAACTTCCTCAACACTCCTATTCCGAAAGATGGCTCCAAGAAGAACGAGCGCCCCAGGAAAGTGAGCACCAAGGTGGCAAAGAAAGCGGAACTGGAACTAGAAATCGAGGGCGACTCTGAAGAAGAAGGGACTGAATGCGTGCCGGCGGCAGTAAAAGTTAGGCCGTCAACAACAAGGTGCGCAAAATGCTTCCAAGGGCATTCAAAATGCAGTGGAGCGGCGACGGGCATCTGGCCCTGTGAAGTGTGCGTCAAGAGGGGAATTGAATGCGTGCCGCCGGCGCTGAAGCCTCAGGAGATGGAGGTCGATGAGCTCGAGAGCGAGGACGACTCTGGAGATGAAGGCGGAGACGAGGAGGAGAGCGAGGACGATATGTCCACTTCTAGTGAAGGAACGGCGGAAGGGCGGACACCTCCTACTCAAGGGTCCGGTCCACGAGCTTCTGATACCTGGACAGCCATCAATCAAGCAGCAGTTCCTGCTCCTGCTCCGACACACAGCAATCCTCTCTTTCAAGAACCACCCGAGCCCATGTCGACGCCAGCCTTCATTCCAGCTCCTCCGCTGGCCAGTTCTGACAACACGGCCACGACCTCAAATACCCACAAACCCCCCCAAGCATACACCAACAATACCCAGGCAACAGCCCCCACACCACCTCCTCTTCCCCTCTCTGAGCCTATCAACACCCCCTTAAAAAACCAGACACCAGATCCCACCTCCCTCGAAGCTCGCATCAGCGCCGCCAGTGGCGCCGCCGAGGCCCTCTGCGACCGCATCCTCCACCCGCACCCATCCTCCCTCTACGGCATACCAAAAGCACGCTACGACAGCCTAGAAGCACGGCGGCAGGCGGCGAAAGCCGAGGCGTGGGCGCTGGTCTGGGAAGATGTGCTGCAGGTCGTGTTGGAAAACGCGGGAATGGACGAGGACGAGGACAACTTGCGGATCCAGAGGACGTTGGAGGGGAGGACGGCGAGGCTGGAGGAGAGTTTGAGAAAGTTGGCGGAGGAGGTTGCGAGGTTGACGAACGTGTGAGGAGTACTTCAGGTAGAAGATAGTTGCTCTGCCAAGAGGATGTCTAAAATGGATGGTACGAGTCTTTACATCTCGCTCTTTCTCTCGTGAATTAGTGCTGGAGACCTTCAAGGCTGTTCGTAATAGCGCAGCCTATGCGTTACTACGGCTTAATTTCAAGCCTGTCGAGGGCAGCGGCGTAGTATGAATCGAGTAGTTGTGTCTAGTCAGTTGGCAATAAGGTGGTACTCTAAGAGGTCTCCTGGGCGTATTCAAAATCCTGCATGATGATGTAAAAGACGTGACTCTGCGAACGAAACACCTGGTCTTCCTCTTCCGAAATGTGATACAAACCAGGTCGTAGATTTAGTCACACGGCTATTCTACAGCCTAGGCTCTCCTTTTGCTGGCTCAACGCCATTATAAGAGTCCCCTAGCTAGCAAGTGGCCGATTGGTCAAAGGGTAGTCTGGTTTACGTTGAATTGACTTTGACATTGAAAACTTGGGAGATATTTGAAATTTGAAGTAATTGATTTACTACCTGTCTATCCTACCTCTCTATTTCCCTTCCGCACACTAGGGGAGTTGACAACGCCACCTTCTCCGCCATTACTCGAGATTCCTGAGTGCTTGATGCTTTCAAAAGGGCTTTTGTGGCTTTTGGCGCTGTCAACACCCAGGAGCGCTCTACGATTTCCAGGAGTGCTTAGTGGATCAACGGGTTCAGCTGTGGGTACTAGCTCCGCGAGTGGATCCGTACAGAAGATTGCAAGCAGCCTATCGACTACATCGCGAAGGCTGTCAGGCTGAGAATGCAAGGGCTGAGTTGCCATGTGTTTTCGCTGAATCTAAGATTTAGCTACTTTTTCAGTGCTACCGAGCACAGGAGACTTACCAGAGCTAGTGCCGCTCCTTTGAAGGTTTGATGATATATGAGCTTGTACTCTTCGTCCTTGACTGCCTCCTCTGCGGCAACTTCATCTGCATGACCGTCATTGCCGTCCGCAGAGGGGGCGACAGAGCTGCGACGGGATTTATTCGTTTTCTTCCGCTGCTGAAGCCCATGCATTCGCATCCCAGCCATCACGACTCTCGAAAGAGCCTCTTTGTTCCGCGACTCTGTGGTTTGCTCTTCGGGAGCAGCTGATATGCTTGTAACCCTCGAAAGCGTAGAGCGCTTGCTAGGCCCGTCGAGCAGACCCTTTCGACTCAAAGGCCGAATGTCAGAAGAGAAGCTTGGAGAACGTGACAATGGCCGTCCAGCGGCCTGTGATACCTGAGACGTGTTGTTTCCACGTAATGTTTCCACGGTGATCGCGGCTTTACTGTCGATGGACAGGGATTTCCTGTAAGCAGAGGCGGGTCTAGGGAGCTCGATCTTCGAGGCTGCTGCGGCCACAGCCTCGCCGCCTTTCTGCCTAGCTTTTCTCCGACGTTCGGTGGCCTTGTCGAACATATCGTTGACTTTCTTCCTCTTTTCAGGACCCGGAGATGGAGGCAGGAGCGGCGAGAGAAATTGGCCGTCTCCCTCGCCCATCTCGGCGTCAATCGGAGGTGAAAGTCGCGAAACATCTGATTTCCGATGGACCAACAAGTCTGAGGAAAGCGGTAGAGCATGAACTCTCAATTCTGGGGCGCCAGACAGAACAGAGTGTTGTTCCTGCGACGACGCGGGAGGCGTTGGCAAACCAGCATTGGCACTGCCGGCGAGCGTTCCATAGAACAAAATATCTGTAATTTTTGCACATCCATCTAGTTGCCAGCCTTTTTCGACTTCGACTAGTATACCAATCGCCGACTGCGCTCTCGCACTGGTCCACCAAGCGCACGCCTCATCTCCAGACGCGGTCGCGTCGAACGCGTCTTCTCCTGCTAGTATGGAGCTGAACCATTCTTCTGTGTCAGTAGATGTTGTCCACACGTCGAAACTAGGTCCGGCAGCCAAGTAGAGGGGAATTCGGGACGTTTCAACGACTGAGAGGAAGCGGAGGGACGAGGAGGGGATTGGGGTTATGGTGGTAGAATGCGACGTGGAGAAGGTGATTTCTGAATGCCATTAGCTGTGATCACTTCGAATTAGGGAAACAAATACCCTTAAGGCTTGAGTCATCCCGTAGTACGATGTCCCCTGTCCAATAGTCCATGATGTGGTCGTAGAGAAGGAGCTCCGAGATGCATGTCGCGGGGAACTTGGAAACACGCTAGCACATGACATCAGCCTTCTCAAAGCGAAGACATAAATTGGTGTTGGAAGTAAGCATTCAAATTAAGAGAGTTATGTATATGGGATATCGTGAGGCCACCTTGAACAAGAAGTGGCAGCCACGAGTCTGTGAACCTCTTCTAATATTCTTATCCTTTAGATAGACACTCACTCTACTGGAAACGTTATCAAAAGTTACTGTGTCGACAAATATAATAGTTCACCAAGTCATTTCAGGCGGTGTTGAACTGCCATTTTATGTTCAACAAGGCCTCATTGCGCAGGTGTCTGCTTCATCCAAGACGCTGTAGCTATTACTTTTTTTAGAATGAGATAATGTGCTTCCCTGGGTCCAGAGACGGACGGTGTCACGAGACGAATTTCATCCAGTTTTATCTCAGGCTCTGCATTTTTAGTTCTGTTATTCCATGTGTAATATCTTATAATTTCCGACCCTTTGTCCACAGGACTCTCACCACATCAAGTGAAAACTGGAGGTGTTGGTTGTCGCCGTTGGTTTGCTCATGGCACAATCTGATGCTCAAGATTCCGCCCCCTGCAGCATTGTCGATGTTGGCAGTTATTCGGATTTTGGAGGCCTGGTGGCGAAGCGCAATACTGGATAAGAAATGCACCAGCCAGTTGAAGACAACGACCCTTGTGTGGCTAGCATGAATAAGTTTCGCGGAACGGAAAGGGGTGGCGTGTAATGGACGCCAGTTGGCACTCTCAAAGTGTAATCTACGCTATGCCATATTAGGCCAAGCAGGATTTCCGCCACAGCTTGACGATCACGTGATATTCCGCAAGCTCACAACGGCGCGCGTGTGCTTGATTATGGAGCAGAAGTTAGGCGAGACATTTAATCTGTTATTTACATGGGTATGTGTAAAGACAGAGTCGTAAAAAAGAAGGCTTTGCCATTATGGCTTATCCAACATTCGGCCGCCTTGCCTCTTGTGCTCCAGCCGCAGTAGATCTATCCTGGCCTGCTTCCGACTCAACAGACGCAACTTGCAACGTTTCAAGTCGCTTATTAAGCACCCTACACCATTTTGCGGATGGTCCTTGGACGGCCGTGTATCCAGACAATGCCCGAGTGAACATTCCCTTCGCCATGTCTCTTCGACCTGTCCGCGAGAAGAGGTCACCAAAACCGAACATGGTGTTCAAGGCGGGTAAATACGAGGACAGAAGTTCAGGGCCAAGAGCGTCCTCGTAACCTTGCAGCGCCCGTTCGTACATCGCCTCCGCCTTATCCAGCTTGCCTTG